CACAGCCCGCCAAAACTGCTGCCTCAAACACACAAACTACTACATTTAGCTACCTTATCTTTTGTTTGTTCAGTGAGTCACTCTACTCGCTCCCAAACGTTTCCATTTTCAGAACTTCAAACAACATATACGTGCACGTAGCAAGACCGTCAGATTCAACAAAAAGCTCTGCTCAAGTTGAAAAGGGTTTAAAACAATGCTTAGTGTATGTGCGGCATTTTCAGTCTACCACATTTCAGATGAATTATCGTGTTGTAATCCTCACAACAGACCTGTAAGGTAGGCTAGTGTTATTCTCATAGTGCAGATGTAAAGGATTAAGAGTGCTTTAGAGCATTTGATTAGGATCTGGGAGGATAGGGCTCCCGCCCCCCTTCCTTTAAAGACTGCTGGAAGACCCTGGGCCAGGCATTCTTTCTCAGCCTGAGTATTAAGCCATGAGTCCCCTTACTCTAACGAGAAACTAGGCCTCCTCCTTAGATACCCTAAGCACTGCATCAAACAAGAAGAAGAAGAAGAAGAAGAAGAAGAAGAAGAAGAAGATTGGATTTATACCCCACCCTTCATTCGGAGTCTCAGAGCGGCTTACAAACTCCTTTCCCTTCCCCTCCCCACAACAGACACCCTGTGAGGTAGGCGGGGCTGAGAGAGCTCTGACACAAACTGCTCTTGAGAGAACAGCTCTGACAGAACTATGGCTTGCCCAAGGTCATCCAGCAGCTGCATGTGGAGGCGTGGGGAATCAAACCCGGTTCTCCCAGATTAGAGTCTGTGCACTTAACCACGACACCAAACTGGCTCTCTGCACATCTTCTCACACTGATAGTGCACACACGTTACATCACTGCATGGATATTGGTCAGGACGCAGATCCCAACTGCTCCCATGCAGCAAAATCAATGCATGCTAATCCGCACATGGTTTGCACACTGTCTGCAGCACAGGTGCTCCGTCCAGGTAAGACATCTGTCACATCTGAAGTGGCACTTAAAAAAAACACCTGTATATTTTGGTAACCTGCAAATATGTATCGGTTTCATTAAAAACCAGATGTCGTATCCACAAACCGTCGACAGCCATAAATATTAGATAATGATAGATACTTACAGAACTCTACCAGCAGGTACCTGTTTTCCTTCAGAGCCCTGTCAAAATTGCTTTTCTTTAGGATGAAAACACTGTCCTCCTCTTCGATCTCGGGGAGTGCGGTTTCCTCAGATCGCTCCCCGGTTGGCTCGATGCCATGGGCTTCTGCTTGGGAGGAGAGGACTCCTAGGCCGAGGAGAAAGAGAAGCCACGAAGTCCTCATCCTGATCTTCCACGAGTTCTTAGGCACCAGAAGGGGATCAGAAAGGGACCTGGAGCTGACTGGCTCTGGCGAATGTGTCCGTGGGCTTATCGCTGGGACACGTGGCAACATTCCCACACCACACTACAGGGAGCAGGGCTTGCCACAAACAAAGGTGACCTCCAGCCTCCTCTGCAGAGTTGGAAAAGAACACAAAGGGGAAGCTTGACGACCACATTAGGCTCCCAGCTTAGCTAGATAAACAGCGAGAACCGGCATCGAAAAAAGAGGAAGAAACATGAATAAAGCCATTGGGATGAGGAGGTCTCTCTCTTCCTTCTCTTCCTCTATTACTGGTGACGTTTGCACTGCCTTTCTATCTACTACTGTTTGAACCAGAACTAACTAGGAGGATGTTTAAAATGAACTGCAGAATTGGGCCACATGCAGTTTGCCACAAGTTTGCCGCCCCCACTATATCACCATCGCTGTGGGTTGGAAGAGGCCCTGAGAAAAACACCTGAACCTGAACATGAATGGAGCCTTAAACCGTCTACCAGGAACTTCGGGCATACGTTCCGTCATCATTGGACTCTGAAGACACTGAGCACTTTGTTTAAATTAGGATTTTTTAAAGATGTACTGTATGTTTTTAAATTATATGTATATTGTGTTTTATCATGGCAAGGCTTCGCCTTGCTCTTGTAAGCCGCCCTGAGCCCACGGGGAGGGCGGGGTATAAATACGAAAAACAAATAAATAAATAAATATGAGAACCAAAGCAGTGCAGTCCTGGATCAAATCAATGGTCCATCTAGTCTAGCTTCTTGTTCCCCATACTGGTCAACCAGTTGTCCCCGGAAAAGCCAACAAGCAGAGACAAAGAGATCAAGACACCCCCCTGCACAGCATCATACAGTTGGAAGGGGCCATACAGGCCATCTAGTCCAGCCCTCTGCTCAATGCAGGCTCAGCCTAGAGCATCCCTGACAAGTGTTAGTCCAGCCGCTGCTTACAGACTGCCAGGGAGGGGGAGCCCACCACCTCCCCAGCCAGCTGATACCACAGTTGCACAACTCTCACTGTCAAAAATAAACCTTCCTAATATCCAACCTTTCTGCCCATAATTTAAACCCATTCTTACGAGTCCTAACCTCTGCTGCCAACAGGAACAGCTCCCTGCCCTCCTCCAGGTGACAGCCCTTCAAGTACTTCAAGAGAGCAATCATGTCCCTCCTCAGCCTCCTCTTCTTCAGACTCAACATTCCCAAGTCTTTCAGCTTTTCCTCATAGGGCTTGGTCTCCAGGCCCCCGATCATCCTCATCACTCTCCTCTGCACCTGCTCCATTCTGTCTACATCCTTTTTGAAGCGAGGCCTCCAGAACAAGGTGCAGCTTGACCAATGCATCTCCTAGCAACAAATATTCAGAGGTATGTTTCCTCTGTACATGGAGGTTCCATTTAACCATCATGGATAACAGTCTTGCAGCCATACGTTACTACTGGGAATACCATGGCTTTGACCATGTGGACTTTTGTTGGCAGGGTGATGTCTCTACTTTTTAATATGCTGTCTAGGTTCGCCATCGCTTTCCTCCCAAGGAGCAGGCGTCTTTTAGTTTCATGGCTGCAGTCACCGTCTGCATTGATCTTGGGTCCCAGGAACGTGAAGTCTCTCACTGCTTCCACGACTTCCCGTTCTATTTGCCAAGGAGGGATGTGGCCGGTCGCTTTCCTCCCAAGGAGCAGGCGTCTTTTAGTTTCATGGCTGCAGTCACCGTCTGCATTGATCTTGGGTCCCAGGAACGTGAAGTCTCTCACTGCTTCCACGACTTCCCGTTCTATTTGCCAAGGAGGGATGTGGAACGGTTCCCTTTAATTGCAGTCGGTTAATGTCGTAATATCGGTTGCAGCTTTATAATGTAACATGTTTCTTTCTCTGGGTTGTATCTTTTTTTTTTTAACAGTTTTATTTAAGTTTTTCCATAGATATACAATCATTACATTTATATTGTCAACATATCTATTGTCTGAGTCTATTACAAATTGTTATTTTCTATCCATTTGTAAAATTCTGCCCATCTTTCTTTAAACACCTTATCGTCCTTCCCTTGCAAAATAAGTGTTAATCTATCCATTTCTGCGACCTCCATTACTTTCTCTACTATTTCATTTCTCTTTGGTATCTTTTCTTGCTTCCAGTATTTAGCAATTAAGATTCTAGCTGCTGTGAGCATATATGTTATTAAATAGTAGTTTTTTCCTTTATGTTCATTTGGAATAATATTTAACAGGTAAGTCTCCGGGCATAGTTTTAGAGTTATATGCAGCACTTCTGATATCAAATCATTTACATTTTCCCAAAACTTATACATTTTTTCACAATTCCACCACATATGGAGAAACGTCCCTACATTGGATTTGCATCTCCAACCATTCTTATTTGCATTTTTATATGCTTTGGATAACTTTTCTGGGGTCCAGTACCATCTATGGAATATCTTGAATATGTTTTCCTTAAATGTTACTGCCCTCATTAATTTCATTGATTTCCAAGATTTCACCCACTCCTCGTTTTGGATAGTTTTACCCAAATCCTTCATCCAAAGAATCATAACATTTTTTATGTTTTCTTCAAAAAGATAATCGTCAAGGAGAAAGGAGTATGTTTTTTGAATGAGTTTATCATTTGTGGATAACCATATTTTATCCAATTCAGTTTGGGTGTTTACAAATTCCCCGTTTTTATCTTTGTTATATCTATCTTGAACTTGCATTTTCTCCCACCAAGTTAAGTAAATATTTTTGTCTATTAATCTTTCCAGAGGTCTTAGTTTATTATCTTCATCTAATAATACATCGTACGATATAGCTTTTTCTTTTGTCATTAATTTTGTGTTGATGAATGCCTCAAGGGGGGACACCCATCTTGGAATTTTCTTATAAAATCTATATTTCATTTCTTTCCACACCTTTATTAATGCCTCTCTAATGATGTGATTGTAGAA